TATAGTAAGTAAACAAAAACAGAGAATATTAAAACAAGCAATATAAAGTCAGCTCAAATAGAAATTACTCCAACATGCATAGCAGAGACAATTATTAAAGCTACTAGTGACGTAGATGGCAATCTACAGTATTCTTCACGAAAAAGAAATTATATAGAACAAGAGAATAGTATATATAGTATTGATGATAAGTTAGAATTAGTCAAAGATATGCTAGTACAAAATGAGTGTAGTATCACTGACTATGGTATTAATGAACAAATAATAGAAAAAGTTGAGACTAAAGCAAGATCAATGGAAAATAAAATTAGTAAAAAGCCCAAGCAATATGAAGATATTTACAATTCTGTATAGGCCTCTAAGGGTGAATTCAAATTGCAAAATGCAGCAGACTTACAGTATTTTTTTACATTATGGGATTTATCAAAAGAAATGAATACGAACGAAATTAAAAATATCTAAATTATTTTGAGTTAGCAACTATTCTGGCTTGGCAACAAAACTTTAAATCCAAAGCAGTGTATATTAAGGTGACGACAAGTATTGCAAAAAGAGAGAACACCTTAAAAGAAAGCTGGTCAATTCATTTGGACAGAGGCAAAACATATATAACAACTTTAGGTATATTTAATATTGCTGAATTAGAAAAGAAAAACAAATACAAAGCCACAATCGAAAATGTGCTAACAACAGCATCAGATAGTCTATTACTCCGCCAATTGAAAAGACACAAAGTACAAGCAGTACATATTCCAAATAATTGAAATAGAAATCAAAGCAAAAGAGCGCATATATACTTCAAAACAGAAGAAGAGCTAATTCAAGCTCAAAAATGTACTATATACTATTTTAATACCAAATTGCAGTGGCAATTACATCTGGAGAAAACAAACAGCACCAATTATTCAACTTCGTATTCTGAGTACCAAAAAAATCGTTAAGCACTATAGAAATACATGCTTCACAAAGCATAAAAATAAAACCAAAAGTTTTATATAAGTCTAGAAATCCACATACTAGGCATATTGTTCGTAAGCAAAGTAGCAGAGCAAATAGTGTTTCTAGATCAAGAAGTACAACTAGAAAAACACTCAACAGATTAGAAAATAAGATATTGCAAGATCAAGAATATCATGCAACAAAATATGCAACTGGCTCAAATAAAGTGAAATTAGGAAACAGGAAAAGAAAACAAATTAAAACTCAAGAAGCTATAGAAAATGATAGCGAGATTAAAAGCATGCTCACTCAGATTATAAATAGACTTAGCAACCTAGAAAACCAGAGAAGCAATAGGGTGATAAGGCTCCAAATCGCTCCTAAGGGTGCTCCAGTTGAATCAAAGTGAAGAAGTAAGATAGAACAGCTCATAACTATCTTGCAAAGAGAAATACCTAGTGGGCTAGATATAACAAAAAAATCATTTTCTAAAGTGAACATAGAGGTAGCAAACACTACTAGTATAGGAAAAGATACAAAACCTAAAGATAGAACACTAAGCTTAGCATGCCACAATATCAATGATCTCAAAACAAATCAGCAAAAGTTTGAACTCCTGAAACATTAGGTTTTAGAAGAGAAAATCAATATAATAAGACTAACAGAAACGAATATTAGAAAAAAAGAGGGTTTTTATTTAAGTAGAAAATGAGATAATTTTAAGTTCTTTTAGTCGAAGGCAGCAAAGGATAAAAAGAAGGGCTCAGGGGTAGCGTTAGGAGTTCAAACTTATTAGGAAAAACATCTAGATAGTACAGACACAAATGAAGAATATATCTTAGTAGCTAGATTTTATTTTAAGAACATAGAGCTTATCGTAATTGTAGTATATATACCCCCAAACGATAAAGAAAGAAAAAAGAGTATACAAAAGTATATATTAGATTTATTTATAAAAAGAAGTAAACAGACTCATATAGTAATAATAGGGACTTCAATTGCAAAGTAGATCCAAGCCTGGATAAGCTCATTAATCAAGAGTTAGATAGACATAAACTGTCAAGAATCTATAGATAGTTGGAAAAAAACAGCTTTGCCGATACGTTTAGATTTATATATCCAACAAGCAAAGAGTATACATAGTACAACAGCACAAATGCAACAAGAATAGACCAAATTTGGATATCTGAAAATTTTATAAAAAGTCTCACAAGTGCAAAAATTTCAGATATGAAATATATTACCAAAAGTGACTATAGAGTGGTGTATACTATATTAGATTTAAGTTTATTTATATTAAAATCACCAGCAGCAATAGAAAAAAACAGAAAACATTTTAGAACAGTGTACCTCTATGATGAGACAACAAATGAAAACTGGGAAAAGTATAGAAAAGTATTAGAAAAAAAACTAAAAAAAAAAGAAAAGTTACTTGCACAATTAAAAAAAGAGCAGAAATGGATAGTAATATTAATAGTGAGCAGTCATCCTAGTTGGCAAATCAAATTTGGTCATTACTAAAAACGAGTATCCTTGAGGCAGCAAATAGAAGCTTTCCAAAGAAGAGAATATATAATGTAATTACTCAAATCAAAAATAATAGTGCCAAAACACAGCTAGCAAATTTAGTAAAAGAGATAAGTAGATGGATAAGATGTATAAGAAAAGCTAGCAATTTGAAAAGTTTCAAAAAGGTGAGTGATGAGATTAATATAAGCATTAGAAAAACAAACAGAAAAATGGATCTTGAGATGCCTGAGATAAGTTTAGTAAACTATGTAGAGTGGCTAGAGGATATGAAAGGCTGGTGGAGAATTATAAATAGAAAAAGAGCTGAAGAACTAGAAGTTACCAAACGCAAAGAAATAGAACTAAGTATAGACTGAAGATAAGAACTTATTGAAAATAATAAAGAAAAATGCTAAGAGGCCTTCTAGACAAACCTTGCAATAAAATTACAATAGATAGAATTTTCAAAAAACAAAATAGAGATAGAACTTTGATTACAGAACCAAATTAAGTTTTACAAGAAACTAGATCACATTATAAAAGACAAATACGAGAAAGAGTACCCAAAAAGCCAGAAGCTTGAGCAGAAGTTTACCAACCAATTAGTCGGGTTCAAGAAGACTAGTATTCTAATATAAAAAGTAAAATTACAGAAGAATAGTGAATCTTCACATTAAAGTCTTTAAAAAGTGGCACAGCTTCAGGCAGGTCAGGAATTACATATAGCCTCCTCAAAAATGCAAGTGTATCAACCCAAGTGTATTTTAGATCTTTTACAACTTCTGTATAAGAGAGCTGGTCATACTAAAGGAGTGGAAAAAGGCACAAATTTACTCAATACCAAAAAGTACAAGTTGGAACTATGATTTAAGAAATACAAGACTGATTGCCCTTTTAGAAACATTCAGAAAATGTATAACTAAAATCATTACCAATAGGCTTTCAAAAGTGTTTACTAAATACCAAATTCTTCAAGGATCGAATTTTGCAGGGTTACTAGAGGTTCTACAGAACATCTAGTTTATATATTAAACATGATCACAGAAGATGCAAAAGAGAAAGATGCTAAGCTATGGGTAGTTCTGCAAGATATAAAAAAGGCTTTTGATTTAGTATTACTAGAGATGCTACAAAGAACAATGAAAAGAGTAAAGATCCCACCCAAAACAATAGAGTTAATCCTAATGCTCTTTAAGAACAGAAAGTTAAATATAATAACAGCATTAGGCCTTACAAATCTAGTTGAAATGAAAGATAGAATAGAACAAGAAAAGGTCTTCTCACCACTACTCTGGCAGATCTTCTTGACCCACTATTAGTAAGAGTACAGAAGAGTAAAAACTCGGCTATATTATAGAGGCTCTAAACCCTAACCTGTTACAAGAGAGTAAAGCAAAGAATGAGAAAGTAAGAATGGCAGTTGTAATATTTGCAGATGATACTACATGGATTGCTTCAAATAGACAAGTGATGAAAAAAACACTCGCAATTGCAAATGAATTCTTTAAGCTCAATGATATACAAATCAATAGGAAAAAGTCAAATCTCATAGTATTCAACCCAGAGTCTAAATTAGAAGAAAGATATATTACATTCAAAAATGAGAAAATTAAAGAAAAAAGGGCAAATAATATAATGAGAGTTCTTGGGATATAGCTCAACTGTAGAATAAATGAGAATTTGGTACACAAGAAGGCCAAAGTAATTGTACAGCAAATAGTAGAAGCACTAAGGTGAAAAAAACTTACAGTCAGCCAATTAGTGTATATCAATAACATGTATATCATACCCAACCTTTGCTACCTATTACAACTATCAAGAGCATCTAGAGACTTAATAGACAAGATCTACCAACCAATAATTAGGCTAGCAAAAAGCAAACTTGACCTTCAAGTTACAGTACCAAACTATGTGGCTATATACAAGAACATAGGAAATTTCAGAGTATTAAGCACAGAGCTATTTAATAAACAGATCACAAGTCTACATAACAGATTAAATGATGAAGAGTAATTAACAAAATTACTGAGCTGAGAATCTGGCAAAAACACTAAATAGCTAGTTTAACAGAGAGCTTTGATGGCTGAAAAGAACATATATTGCTCGAAAAACTCTAGAAATACAATTAAGCAATGCTAACCTTAGTAAAGAGAGCAAAGAATCAATTAGTAATTAAACTAACACAAGGTAGTTGGAGAACCAGAGATATAGGTAAAACAATACATAGTATGATAGGAGGAAAAGCTTTCATATATTGTGCAAAGATGCTAAAATCTTTAAATCTAATATTTATCGAATAGCTCTTAGATATGCAGGAGAAGCAGATAATCACATGGCATTATCTTAAACGAGTCAAAGAATGATCTAGCAAAGGAAAAGTCCCAATTTGGTTTAGGTCAATTAAAAATCAGATGATCATTAACTTTGATACAAGAAAGATAAAGCAAGATCTGCAAACAAGTAGCACAAACAAATTAGCATTAATACCTTAAACAGTGAAAGTCTCAAAAGACAAATATAAACTCAATTAGATACTAGTTAACAACAAATAGAACAAGCCAGACATTCGAAGAGTAGTTAGCAAGAGTAAAGAAGGATTTTGCACAGAGAAGTGGTTAGTTAGTAAAGAAGAAAAAGGTAAAATCAGATTAGATAAAGAAGCAATTATGTCAAGCAACACCCAACAAACAGAGTGGATTAATAAGAAAAAAGTAATCACAGTATTGCAAGGGCTTAGAAAGCAAAAAGGTTCTTGATATGATGCAAAGCTCACTTGAAGAAATTAGGAAAAACAATATTGATATAGGGATAACTAGTAGGAAGAAAATAGGTAGAGACTCGTATAGTTTAGAACATGCAAGCCTAGCAAATATAGTTTATATAGATAAGTTGGAGAGAGACTATATTAAAAAACAAGAGTTTAGCAAATATTGTGAAGGGTTATTATTAAATCAACTAGAAAGAAATATAGAAACAGATCAAAAAATATTAACATTCTATACAGATGGCTTATTATTAAAAGAAATGAGAAATGGAAGAGCAGTATGCAAACAGGGTTTAGGTTGGTTGCAAATTGACAAAAATGAAAAAAAACAAGTTACAGAAGAGTTGCTTAGTATAGAACATTGGCCGTCATTGACAAGAGCTAAATTAGCAGTAATATGGATAGTTCTACTAGCAATCAAAAAAGGTGAAGGTCTGAGAATGAATAGAGAATGGCTAAAGTAAAAAAACTACTTTTTGCTACTCAAAATTATAGATACCAAAAACATGAAAGAGTTGAAGCTAGAATTAATTAAAGTTAAGGGTTATAGTAAAAACTAATGGAACGATAAGATAGATCTTTTAGCAAAAAAAGAGTTGCTAGCACCAGACCTAATACAGGAGGTAGTATCAAGTTTAAGGCTCAGATACAATGTTTATTGGCAGAACAGCCTTATCAAAATCCCAACAAGAAATTTCATTAAAGAACTCGAAGATACAAGAATTGCAGCAGAATGGAGAATGTTAAGTACTGTAAATCTACTTGAGCCAAGAGACAATACATAGAAGTGAGATTGAAAAAGTCTATGGAGAAGAATCAAATCTCAAAGTGAAGTGCACTGTATATCAATATGAAAAGGAAAAAAGCTCAACTTTCTGATCAAGTACTTGCATAATTAGCTCCCAGTACTAAGTAACCTCATTAAAAGAAGGCCAGACCTATATAAGGAGAGTAGCTGCAAATTGTGTAAAGATAATATAAAAGAAATACAAGATTATTTAGCATGTAGCAGAGCACAGCAGACCCATTGACATAAAATCGAACAAGCAGCAATTGAAACAGTACAAGCCTTCATAAATAAACCTGAGAAAAGGAGAAAATTACGAACAAGCAAACTCCAGCAATGCTTATTTGGTGAAATTTACAGGGAGCAAAAAGAGTGAAGAGAAGGCTTTACTTGGGGCCTATTTAAAAGTACAGTCATAGAAGAACTCATCGACCAAGGCCTAACAAAAAGAGAAGCAAATTTAGCCTTAGATACAACAATATATATTCTGTGGAATGGCTTCTATGAAATTATATGCCGATCAAGATGTGAAAAGATGATAGAGTGGAAAAAAGAAAAAGGCATCTCTAAATAGCAAAAATTAAGAAAAAGAGCCAAATTGCAGGATAAAAAGAAGATTAGCAGAAAAAGAAGAAGAGAAAAGACAGAAATACAGAAAAGTTCTGATTAGAAGAGTAAAAAACCACCTAACTCTAAAGAAGTCATGGTACAGAAGGTTAAAAATAGGAAGAAAAACATGAATAGAAGAATAGATGTTTTGGTAGGGAAGACAATTTGGAATAAAATTTGAGTCAGTGGAAATCTATTTTGGTGTGGCACTTAGACTGATTTAACACAGCCCCTAGTTTTTAAAGTAATTTTCAAACTAGTGTGGCAGGTTGCACTTGGGCGCCATTTAGGTAGCCGGGTGATGTCAGGCTTGCAAATTAGGAGTAAACAAGTGTATAATTT